GCTGTACTATCGAAGCAGTTAGACGTTCTAGCATGGAGCTGTAATCATATAGAAAATGATGCGACTTTTCCCTTTGGCCTATTATTCAAGCCTGCTAGAGAATAAGCTATATCGTACGTTAAAACGCAAACCGTCATAATTATGTGTTGCTTTCGTTCTACTAGAAAGTTATATTATTGAAGCAGATACTATTTACCGTTCAGGCCGGACGACTAGGAGCTCCGTGAGAATATTGTCTAGTTATAAAACTCAAACACGTGTTATGATTACGTATTGGCCTTTCAATATGAACGATGCTTCTATTGACTGTGGCCTAGAAATAGGACTTAAGGCAGACACAATCTGTGCAGGGCATTCGAGTGATGTGTTCGTACAAATAATCCACCCGTCAACGGGAATCATTCGAATCCTGTGTCCCTTTCGACATAAGGAAAACACTCGTTTAAAACAGAATTAACTCATTAGAAGCTGACCAATCAATACCGTCTAATCAATAAACCAGAAGCTAGATAGGTGAAGTAAAATTACCTTTGTTCTGGTTCCTTGTTTGGAATATGTTGGGTACAACACTATAATTCGATTATCTAGCTCTGAGCTACGCATCTAGGTACCTGTACTCTGAGAACGAAATCTCTCAGACTTCGTCTCAGAAATGATTCACTTATCTAGCTGACTCCCACGTTAGGAAAGAGGAGTTTAAAAGTAGTTATTGTACGTAAGCAAACGCGCTATGTGTTTATGCAAGTTATTTCTAGCCCAGCATTTAATGTGTGAAAGCTAAATCTCGATCATTTAATCTGTATAATGGTGTATATATACCTGTGTGTATATATTACAACACAGCACGGAACTTTTCTAGTTAGGATATTAGCATACAAGTTAGAGGTAAACAGTGATGTTACATAGAAGACCTATCCTTATCTTTGTCACACGGAAGCTATGCTATTGTGACGGAACGCATCAGTGAAACGAGACAGCGCAGCCTTCGAATGAGTTCAAGCTTTTTTCTTAAGCTCTCTAATTCCTAGGACACGCCTGCCTAAATTCCGGCCATACCTTCGCATGTAACATTCCTTTGCATACAGTAATGCCACCTTTGCACGTCCTTGATGCCCGAGATGTTGACATATTTCGAGGGCAGAAAAGCGAAACAAGCACAGGCATCATCCTGAAACCAACCGTCTTCGATGGTGTTTGTAACTTTTTTTTAATTAAAATTTGGCTTAACAATTTGGTAAATATTGTATTTCCAGAAAAATCTTATTGATATAATTCAGCTCATGATTGAAAAGCATTTACCTCTAAAAGGATAATGAACAACAAAACGTGCGGCGTCCATTCAGCGTAGCGACGTTACATAAGCATCTTTCTAGCTCTCAGTGGAAAAAGTACTCGGGAGTCAAAGGAAGCATTGGTTTGTATCGAGTCAGTATGGTAAACATGTTGCAGAAGTGACGCATTATACTTTCCTTCGTAACTAATAGACTAAGCTTTTTTTAAAGCAATCGGCATAGTGCATACTGTGATAATATGTTGCAATCGCCAATGAAACATTTGACCGGGCCATTTCTCCATAAGTAATTTCTTCCGCTTGAGCTCAAAAGCCAAAAGATGCAAATCAAAGCAGAAATATGCACCACCCCATTGAGCAGGTCGTTTGCATTGGCGGCCAAGTCCTTACTTCCTACCGGACCGTTTGCTACCTATGTATTGTGACTTTGTCGATCTATCATTTCTTCTTTTTGCCGCCTTGTGAGACTTCGAGGATCAGGATTTGGATAGATCTTAGTTCCTTCGCCGGTAATCATTCTCATTTGTGATTATACAGATTCCTGTTGCTTTTGCTGGAGGTAGGTAGCGCTGACACTGCCATTGCTATTACTGCCCTTATGAAAACAAGATGGCTGCCCGCCCTCTGCACCTCCTTGTCATGACGATAGCAGCTTCGTCGATCCATTTGATAACGTATGTATATTGGCTAAAGCGTTTCTTGCGTAAGCGGCGTTACCAGTCTTGTCTTGCTGCCCAGTGGCCTCCCGAGTCCATGGTAAGAAGGGACCGGCGCTAACAAAAGCGGATTAGAAGCTGTACAGGTGTTTAATCTGGCTAACGAATAGACATCGAATTACGTGCATCGTGTGCAAAATGTATGATACATAGGCAATAAGCACGCTGACACACCTGACGGCGACATGCACGAGGTGACGTAGCTTTTTTCCGCGTACTATGATGTGATTTCGCAGACCCTCATCGAAACGAACCGAAAATATATATGTACGCTTATTTCTTTTAGCCGCTAAATAACTTGAGGAGGAATCACTCCGCTTCGCTGTTCGATACTCATAATGTCTACATCTTACATAGTAAGATTACAAGGTAAGGTAAATAGAAGGCGCGATACCAGTTTCACGCGCTAAATGCATTATGAACACAATTGCTTCTATAACAGCGTAGCCGTTCCATCGAAATTATCTGGCAGTTAGTTAGTGCACGTTCGTTAGCAATTAAGCAAATTCAGAAGGTAAACCTAAAAAAAGGCCCCTATTTACAAACAAACAGGCCTGCCACGAATCATTAACGGTAACCTACGTAGTTTGCTCCAGTTGCCCGAAATGTGAGTATATCACTGACAAATACTATCTATCAAATGTCATCGTTTAGCTGGTCTCTGTTGCGACAAGATTTCGAAGCTCGCATGGAGATTTCCCTAATTAACCAGCCCAGCGCCGCCTCAACACAGTGAAAGCGTCCGGGGTTTGTCAAAAGCAAATGAGCAACAATCAGACTCACCGGCGGTCGATCTGTCTGTCCGATTTCTGCCTTCTCTCGAAACAACTCCCTCCAGAGGGAATTAGTGAGAGAGTCAATGAAGGATAACTCTATAGGATAATGAATAATCTCATTTGTAGGTACTTGTTTATGAGACGGGACAATACACTGATACTATGAATTTTAGTATCGAGAAAAAGGTGATCAGATGACGAGAGAATGGTGTGACTTTGCAGGCGGATTACTTATCGTTCTTTATTTTAGGATTTGCTTATAACAAACTCTGTGATATTGTTGCTATAATGATGTTATCATCACAGAATTGATGCACGTTAGATGGCCTGTTAAATGTCCTATGATTATACTTTACGCAAGGCTCTTACATGAGTCGGTAGACATGAGTTCGATAGGACAAGGCGTTTTTAAAACAGATCCCTTACGCAAGAAGTAATCGTACGAAAAAAAAAAAAAGCAACGAATGATTAAAGCCCAGCGTGCGACTAGAGAAAAGGCGACTGTAGACGATTGTTTCCACTAAGGGAAACCCATAGAACAATAAAAAGTAACAAAAGAAATAAATGCCAATATTATTACCATGAATATCACTACTTGCGTTTACTGGTCAATTACGAAGATCTAACGCCTTTTTAGCTTTATCAACGTCTGAGCATTTGCTTAGACACTGTGGCGGGTTATATGTCATCGTACTAAAACGAATCTCTAATAGAAAGCTTTGCAGAACAAGCGATAGATAAAGCTAGCATTAGTTCACAGTGATGAGAGACGCTTTGTAAATGGGTACACAGAAAGTAGAAAGGGCACTAAAAGTACAGGAAGATCTCGAATGTGATCGGCATATTTATAGTATTTACGACATTTATACTGAAAACGATTATTCTAGCCGCTCGAGCAGAATGGGTCGGTGAGCACCAGTATCAATCTTCAGCTATTCCGATGCAGCCCAGACCCATTCTCCCAAAGTAGTGTTATCAAATGCCACATTTTCTACCAGAAACGATGTATTTCGATCGTATATACACTAATATGACCATTGTTACATTAGCTTTGTGCTATAGACAGAGGCTGTGCTCATAGAGCTGAAAGTTTATTGACGTTTTTCGAGGCAGGACAAAAGGCTTAACTATGATTAACGGCTGTCCTATATATTATGGAGGTAACAGTGGATCAATGGTTTTTAGTTAAATCGTCCGCGCTACCCATTGATAATAGTATAGTTGGAAATGCAGATCGTTACGATTACGGATTCTACACGTACATATCAATGTCATTCAGTTGCCACCTTTTATTCTGATTAATGAACTATCCGGTCGTTTCTCCTATTATACTACTATTATTATATATAGTTGTCTGTCGTGCCTTCCAATTTTTTTAATTTTATGGATCAGTGGAGATATTCGCACGGGGAGCCCTTATACATTTTTTCATAACTCTATCACCGATTTATTTTCATTTATACCAAGATCCAGCCGTTCCCTGTGTTCAAGAGGCGAGCATAATGCACGGCTTATACCCATGAGAACTTCCTTAGTTCTTTCATAACACCGCCGCCCATATGTTATAGTCACGTATGTCAAATTTTCAAAAAAATACCACCTTCAAAAAACGTGATGCCATCCACTTAAAGCAGCTTACGGTGCTCACATACATTTGTAATACTCCGACGAACGAAAGTAATATGCAGTCTAGAAATTGACACGTTTATAGCAACATAGTAAAAGAAAAAACATGATAGTTCGGAAGAGACTATGGGTAATTTTCGCACAGGCTTTTGTCGATAAGCTAAAATTTTCAGGTTTCATGTCCTTCGAGTTTAAAATGCATGCTTAAAGTATGCTTAAAGCGTCTCGGTGACTATATGATGTACGAGATCTTAAAGGCGCTAGCATGTGAATGCTATGAACGTGGCCTTACCTTTGTCGTTTCTCATAAATTTAACGTATCCAGGCTCGGCAAATAGACGTAGCGCGAATCTAACCAGCCACACGTCTTAAAATTAGTTTTTAATCAATTCCCTCTCTCACGCACATACACACACTCTCTCCTATATATATATATATCGGATCAACGTGCAGTCTATCCGTACCCCATACATCACACGGTCCGATACTTGATATTAGTCTACCTCTCGCCACAGACCATATAGCATACCTGTTATTTCATTCGTATCGACGGTCACAGAATAGGTCGGCTCTCAGGTTCTGTTTACTTACCTAACATTTTTACGACAGCCCTCTTCGAACCACCACCGGTGTGTCTGGGCGTTTTGCAACTTGTCCGTATACTCCCGTTTTCATCACGGCAGCTCTGCTGCTGTTGCTGCAACTGTTGTCGATTATGCTGGTGATGCTGTCGGGTATCTGGCGAAACGTCACCCCTGGTCCCCGCACTCGCCGATCTTCTCAGCTGCAAACCGATGAGCACATACAGAACTACGATGACGGTTAGCGGCATGATAAAAAATAGTACCGTTGATATCAAGAACATGTTCGGTAGAAAATTATTCACAACTGTACAGATGCCATCCTCGTTTAAACCATACTGTGCAACGATCGGATAGGCACTCGTCGCTGCAGCAATCCATACGATTAAGATGGTCTTCACAGCGCGTTCCAATGTTGACACTCTGAAAACAATGAGCTGGTGTTGCGCGAGTACATTCGTTATATATATATCTATATATATGTATATAAGCTATATAGCTTCCAGCCGCGTAAGCTTACAGGGGACAACGACGTGAAAATAACGCTAGCAAAAACTAGGGTGCCAATTAGAAAGGTCGACCGCCAGTTAATATTGAATTCTGCCTAAACAATAACTAGCTGCTGTTATGCAGATACCTGCTATCGTCTGAAGCGACTCCTAATTACGCATTTTTAACAACATCAATTTCCTAATAATTACTATAGGTATGGGCGTGTATGCTGGGTGTAAAACTGCTTCTTATCGAATTTACCTGTGTGCCCTGAGCGGGTGACAGATGGCGACGTAACGCTCCATAGTGAACGCTGTTATTGTAAGTATCGAAGCGTCCGTCGCCGTCTCTGACAGAAACCCTCTTGCTATGCAGAACGTATAGCTGACCTTCTGTTCGGACGCCCATAACTGTATGGTATCGTTTGGCAAACCCAGCAACAGTAAAAGCAAGTCCGAGATTGATAACGAGAATAGGTAGTAGTTCGTTGCCGTATGCATGTACCGATTGAGCGCGATTACAAGACATGTGCAGATGTTGCCAAACACCCCCGTGATGAAAATCACACTATAAAAAATAGTCATGGTGATTTTCTCGGATATGACACGCTCGTCCTGCATTTCTGCTTCGGCCGTTGTTACGAAGTGATTGCTGCTGTTTAATACGGATACCGCCATCGCCAACAGCTCCTCGCTAAGGTTTCGCTGAGCAATAGTGCTTAGGTTACCACCCGCCATCATGGCGAACAAGGCCATAGTGATGTTGTTTGACGCTGGCCGTAAATAATGGCTATGTTCTTGAGCAGGCTCCATGCTCGTCTCTCTATTTAGCACGGTATAGTTGTCGATTAAGTATTGTGCAGTAGAGGGTGGCTCGAGGAAGCTACCCAAGTGCAGATCCTCCAGGTTAGGTACAGCCTGACAAACTTTCAGCACGGCACGGTGATTATGGAATGTTGGGATGCTAATCCCAGAATGTTATCAAATCTGTTACTTGGTTGACTACGATGATATCAATTCTCGTATTTTCTTTGAACGTTAAATGTACACCGTCCTCGGACACGCTAGAAGACTGCTACGGATATTTCACACCGAGCTTAGGGAAGCAGTGCACGGAAAACTCCTCTGATTCAACACAGCCGACTTGATATCGAATTGACATTATGAAATTGAGGTATCCACAACGTTTTTAGGCACTGATCTTCACTTGTCCACAAAACTGTCATTGCTGAATTTTGCATTGAAGGTATATTTACAGCCTGTACGAGAACTAAGCTTCACAACGTACCACTATAGTTCACACGGCTGAATGATGCTTAGAACGATGCACTGTCCTTGAGCCACTACACTTCAAAGAACTCTCTTTGAGTCAGCACCGATTTTTCACGTTTTTCCGGCTAGCAGGTCACAGCTTGCGCTTCCCACGCACCCAACTCTCTAATTGACGAGGTACTTTCGACCCTTTTACTACTGCGTATTTTAGCCGTTTTCTTGATTGGCCGATTCAGAGGTATATCTATTTTTGCTTAGCGAATTTCTGTATTGTTTGCAGAACTGAACTGAGCAAGAGCTGAATATGACTTAGAGAAATGCTGTTTTTTGTTTCGTTGTGTCGTCATTATTAGTTAACGTTTTACACGACTGCTATACATTCTGCTATCTGTTCTTTACACGTAGTCGTTATCCTTTCGATTGTGTCATCCCGGGACTAGTTGGGCTGTTTGTTTACCCATGATAACCGTCTCTCCAGTGACAAAACCGTCTATATGTACTGTAACTTAAAGAAACCCTGTCCTGCTCAACGCTGCTTCACTTAATTTCTTTGAACTGCGATAGAAATAATCTTCGAAGTATTCGTAACTCCTGCCGCTGCCGATTTTCCACCCGCTCGCCTGACAGGTGATAGCTTGGACGTCCTGGGGCGACGATATCGACGTGTTAGGTGTAGCAACCGTGGGCATTTATCGGCATCTTGCGTTACGTTATACCGCTATTGACAATTCATTTTAACAGTGACTTTGGTCAAGTAGAAACATAGCAGCTTATTGCTTTCTGGTTCGGATTTTCCTGAGTGCTGGATATTGACGTGTCGAACGCTTCTGCTATAACCGAAAGTATTTCCCTACGTCGGTTAGAGGCACTTGTTTCGCCGTTATGCGTTATTGTTGCTGTTGCGTATGCTACTACAAATCGTCGAAATGGCCAAACAAAGTGTCAAAAGGGAAACTTTTGAAGATAAACTGTACTCAGGTCACCTAGCAGCCTATTGGCAGCCTCGTACTCGGTGCGGCACATACCTAACTCACCTTAAACAGGCACTGATAGGATTTTGGGCGAGGTCAGGCCATGTGGCCAGCCCAGATCACGGAATATTGAAACTCAATTAGGAAGTCTTTGTTCGAATTTGGTAAAAATTCCCTCCTAGTTCAAAGTAGGCCTGTGAGCTTAATATAACTTTTAGATAAGCGATACATATTTCTAGTCAACGACGGCGCTTTGACGCATGTGGAAAGTCATCGTTGGTTAAAAGAAGTCATTAGCGTCAGGAACAGCGTCGGCGTACACTGCAGTAATGCTCTAGGGTCGAAATAGTAATCTGAGCAAAAAACTATCATATTTTTAGCTTTGACAACTTCAGACCCTGTATGTTTTCATCGGAGTTCAAAACTTTCAACCTTTTAGCCTGTCGTTTTAACGCTGTCAGAAATCTCTTCTGTCTACTGGAGACGCTCCGTGGTACAAGGGTTCGTATCGGGATGCGCAATTTTTCTTGACGACTTGCAAAACCCCGATTGACGGTTGCCCAACTAAGGATAGAATAGGTTGGGTTCTTTGAACCGCGACCATCGAATCAATAACGAGTAATCAATAGCCTGGAGGCCGAATAATGCTTTGGGATTTCGATAATTATTCGGTAATGGAGAGAGTGGTAAATGTCTTCTAAATGCCGCTATCTGCTTCGGTCACTCACAAAGGACAACGTAAACGCCGCGTTATATCCATCACCGTGGTACAATTGATCATACGCGAGCTTCGTTCGCCTTCTTTAACGGACAACTTTTATTTGACCCGAGTCGACACCTATCGTCGTCTGTACACAAGTTACCAATACTTTCTTTTCCTGAGGCCCTACGCTATCCGAATACCGGAAAACGGAACTTCGTTGTAAGAATAACACACGCTTGTACGCGTTGTACACTTCAAGTGCATAATCTTCCTTTTGAAGAATGTTTCGAAGCGCCCTCAACAAAGATATATGGCTCCTTATTTTCTTTACCAGTTAATCTGTATTATATGCATAGCCACTAGTGGACAATTAACAATTAAAAGTTAATGCTCCAATGGCTATCAATGACGTGCAGAAACTACATGTAAATACTTCTATGAAGGGCGCTGATTACTTAGGCTGATTCTGGTAACAGTTCTGCCACAGACAACTCCAGCTCAAATGCCAAGATTTTGAGCCAACTCGGATCCCCTTCGCTTAGGGGTTTACCACTACCGTATGAAACTATTTCGTTTAGTATTCCGTAGTATAAGGACCGCTGGACTGGTCCTACCGAGCACAGGTATTATGCGTCCTTGTCAATACACCAAAACAAAATGACCCGCAACTTATTAGCACCAACTAAAATTATATTCGCCTATCACAGATAAACGAAAAGTACAAACAGAAAAATTGAACGGTTTAGAATCGTAATCTTTAGTGCAGTCTTACAAACGCGAGTTCAGTCATTGTCCTTGTTAATGATTTACGTATGAGCGACGCTGAGACAAACGTTGCCGATTGATTCCGCGCGCTATAAAACGATTAGAAAAAAGTTACTTAATTCTCTTCGTTGTACTTAACAATGCACTGGCACCTTCCATAGCTGGTTTTTTTCTTCACAGTTCACACACCTCGATACTTATAGCGGCCTATTGGTACTGTCGCTACTATTGCAGGACACTTTCCCTGCGTGCCTACCTTTCTCCCGCCGATCGTGTAGCTACAGCTAGCCTCAAGCAACGTGCCTTGCTTAGGGCCGCAATCTTGTTGAGAAGCTTAAAAAAGCCTTTAACTTCTGAGACAACTACTATCAGTGTTGTCAGATCACCGGTATAGTGAGCGGCAATTATCGTTACCAATCGCGCTAACGGAGTAACTAGCACAGTTGCAATTGCTTCGACAAGTCCAACATTTGCGGTCACAGACACACACAATAGACTGCGACAGATAAACGAAGTCAAATGGATGGACATACACAAGAATATCCTAAGTGTTTTCGACCCTGGTCAGTGTCTTCTCCGAATCAGCGTTAGCAGAACTGTTGGCAGTAGCGTTGCCTTGAGTCGCTGGCCATTTTGACCGTTACTTCGTATGAGATCTGCCTGATGATCTGGTGGCGGCATTCAGTGCTTCGACAAGAACTAAGACAGACTCACGAGCAGTAGTTGTTGCTCTGGCGGCATCAACAGGAGTAGTAAAAATAGCAGAAGAACCATAAATTGTCTCTCCACTACAGCAGGCATGTCGGCTATAAGTACTTACTAAGGTCCATGTTATTGTTGATAACTAATGTTTGTTGCCGATTAAAGCAGCACTCGTTTTTTTACTATACTCGATGTTACCAGCGCTGCTGTTGTAAAGGCCGTGGCACTTTCGGTCGTTATTTCCAGTAAACAGACGTCGTACCGTTTGTGAGTAAAGTAAGCGAACTACAACAACATCGAGTCCGTCGTTTGCCCTATCTTGGTCACTGTTGCCTCTGCGAACGAAGCCCGCGTTGCGGCGCCTCTACATCAGCCGAGTGCAAACGCAGGCTCTGCCAAAACTGCTACGCCGTCGTCATCGCCGCCGCCGCCGCCGCCGCCGCCGCCATCGTCGCCGCTGATGTTCTTCGTGTTGGGTGCGCGCACTGACTTCTCCGGCACTCTCCACTCCTTTCCAAAGCGCTCTTCCTCAAACCACTTACCAAGGCGGGTGGCGTTCGGGCAGGTGGCTGCTGCTACTCTGCTTTCGACCAGACTTAGTTGACGAGCTTGAAAGCTGAGGGTAGGTCTATGACAAGCCTTACCATTATGCCATGGTGGGCAGCATTGCATACCCGGTTTAGGCGGTCCCTTCCCTCCGCTTGGTTCCTTGTTTCCCTTTCTTACTGGTGAGGTTTTCGTCGTGGAGGTCCGGCTTGGCATAGCCCGAACAGATCGGTGCACAGCCACACGATGGCCGCAGCTGTTCTGTGTTCCTCGCTTCATTCCCTTTCTTTTAGCACTTTAATATTCTTCAACGGCGCTCATGGCGACCTCTGGTGAGCGACGATGCAAATGAATAGCACGTACGGAAACCCATTTTGTTATCATGCTGGGGTCGATAGAGATAATGTCAAAGGGAAAATCGTGCTGCATTTGATGTAGGTGAGCAAGGGGCTTCCGGCTGAAAATTCCGTGTCGTGATGAAAGGCTTTTTTGAGCTCCGCAAAAAATCTGCCATGGAAAAGATAGCTATTACCTGTTGTTATGAAATAGCCTATTTTAACACTGTCGACCGGTGTTTCGGGTCAGCAAAGCAGTCTTTTAGCGCAGAACTCTATCTTAACCCTGTCGGTACCTACCTGACAAAGGTCCACCGCACGCGTTGAATCGAAAACACGGTTTGGTAACATTCAGTGCCTTAAGGAATTTGTCACCAAAAATGCTATTGTCCGTAGATCGGAACTTTTTTGGTTTGCATTTTGATTACGCTTACGGTGTGAGAACGCGTTAATGGGCAATGACAGCCTTTCGAAGGATCAATGGTACCGATGAGTCAAAAAACAATAAAAACAGAACTAATATATATAGTACATAATAAATATATCTATATGCAACACAGGCATCTATAATAATAAATACGAGATGCCACACAGATAAATAAAGCTGCCTAGAATCACAAATATGATAGTATTATACCACTTGTATATATTTTGGGAAAAATAAATGAGAAATAATTTAATTTTATTGTCTTAAATTGTATTCCAAAATGCTTGGCCGTTTATTTAAGAAATACAGTACAAAGAGGCGAACATAGCAAAATCATACTTATGGTAAATTTGGATCTCGAGCTGGAAGGTCGTAAGTGCGATGTGTGATTTCACACTAAGTAATGACCTTTGACATTCTCTATAATGCTTGTCTAGTTAAATCAAGTTAAATGTGTTTATATACAAATAAAAAAAAGCAAGTTAATTTATGATTCTTTTGCAAAATTAACTTGAAGCTTCCTCAACCAACTTTACATCTCTTAAAGTTGGAAATTTTAGAGTAATAAAGAGGTAATCCGATAGGCTCACATAATTACGAATGCCCAGCGTAGGCGAAACGAAGCATTTTTTCCACGATCCATTTACATACTATTCAGTTGCATAATATCAGACAGACCTCACGCATTACCCATAGACAATTGTCGATAACGGCTAGCCCATCGTTGGATCGTATCAACATCGTATCGAAATGCCAATTACCGTAAAAAAGTATTCGAATAAATTCAAATCTTGACAACAAAACGGTTGATAGTGTACCGGCTTTTGACAGGACGAGCAGTGGCACAATGCAAGGCCCGCTTTGCAAATCCAGTTGGTCGCAACTGGCTAGTTCTCCTCATCACCTCAATCCGACCTACTCACCTCTGCAGCCTAATCCCGCAGGGATAAGGCTTACAAGCCGGGTAAGTCAGTCAGGCCGGCCAATCAAACAAGCCCATCCACTCGTGAATTTCAGACATGCTGTGAGGTATTTTCAAACCACCATGTCTATTAGACTCGGCGTAAACGCGTTTGTTTAACATAGAAATGCAGTAGCTGTGGATGGCGGGGGATGTGTGTATTTATGTGGTGACAGAAATCAAAATTAATGGAACGAAGATTAGCAAAGGAACCGCTTTATGGGTTCATTGATTTTACTCGCCGTTTATACCGAAATGTGTGTGTGTGGGGGGGGGGGGGGGTGGACTAGCCTTTATCATCACTCTACTCACACAGATGGACGTGACCAGATAAAATTGTTCTTGTCTGTTTACTTTGGTTTTGTATAATTTGCAAAGTAAAGAACAATGACACACATTTTCCAGATTTAAGAGTCTTTCGAGAAAAATTGACCAAAAATCGAAAGCAGCATGGAAAGTGAGTAATCTTATCGTAACGAATAGGCATAGTAGGCTCAGATTGCGTAACATCTATCTCTTCTAGGCCAATGATCATAGCAAACGTTACTTTGACTCCGTAAGATTACCATAGATACGTTAATGTTCATACGTCAACAGGTCCGTCTTATACCATCGTAGGATACTAGCGTCTTGTTTTTTCACAAATACGTAGAATACCATATTTGAAGAGCTTTTCCGCTCGCTCTTTTTTCATTGCTGCCATATGAAAAGGTCCGCGTAATCGCCGTTCTGGTGTATAGCGCCACATCACAGCCGACAGATAACCAATGATACGTTACGTAACGAACCACAGCAAGTTGAACAGATCGAGTAGTTCTATATACAATTTATAGTACAACAGTTTCAATCTAAAACCGCCACTGCTCTATATACGCGAAGTAAATAGATTGGCCTTAATTTCTAGTTATAGACGCGTGGATGTGGGTCCAGCAGACGAGGCTTAACCGTAGATCTCCACCCTAATATCACAGTAGTACCCACAATTGTCGACATTTATTGGAATTAAGATTAAGCCGAGAGAGACTCTTCGAACAATCTACTCATGTTAGGATTAAAAAAACAGACGACTAAATAAACGTACACACAGGATAGACTAAGGTTCAAGTCCACTTTAATAGGGCGAAGTAGCGCGTTTTTTGAAAAATTTATGCTCATAATTTAAGATGCAGTTGCCTAAACCGTAAACGTACCGTAAAGATATTTAACTATGAACAAGCTTACCTTTTCTGCCACCCTACTTCTGCATACGTTAGTCTAGTAAATGGTACGTGGAATCATAGCGACTTCGATTGTATGAGACCTCCTCAACGGTTTTCCCTACAAGGCGTAATTCTCAAACAAAAATGGGCGTGTTCGTCAACGTATACGATCATTCTCAGCTAACAGCCTTTGATAGGATAAACGAAGCTCTGTGTCGACGCGATACTATTAGGTTTCGCCTTGTGTCCCACTTCCACCAAATTATTTAAAAACGGCCAAAATGTATTCATTTCTATGACAAAATCAAAACAAAATGCCCATAGAGATTAGCTAACGATAACGAGCGAGATGCTTGAAGACAGGCCATTGGACTGTGTAAGCATGAAGGAATACAAGATGCCTGAAGCATACTTCATTAATACAGGTAACACTGTATGAAAAGTACTTGCTTCTCTCAGTAAAATCTACACGATTGCAGTTAATGCTGAAACACAAATCTGCCAAAACGGTAGATAAAAAAAAAAAAAAAAACGAATGCCATGTACAATATATCGCAAAACTAACTTTTGAATTTTGGATGCTTTGAACTATTTTACGCAGTTCCCTCTCGATAGGAAGTTGTTTTGGGCTAAGACAAGCTAGTGGAAGTTTTTTTCATAACTTTCTTAGCTTAGCCTTTTGCAGTCTTAATTAGGCACTTTAATTGGACTTTTAAGAAAACCTTACTTATATTATATATATTACAACGTTATAATTGCTAACATAACAACGTCATTTTAAAAACCCCAGATTATCATTTTATATATATATATATATATATATATATATATATATATATCAGTAAAAATGAATAATGTTCTTTTTTCTTGCCGAGAAATTGCAGGGAACGTATAATTAGGTGTGAAACGAGGTCACGTTGAATATTTACTTGGGACACATTTGTACCTAATAACGAGCTCCATAAGGTTTCGCAAAAGTATATGCTACATCATTACAATAGTCAGGATGTTATGACATATTTGTCAATTATAATATCTCTCTCTTAGTGATAAAACTACTTGTAACTAGAAAAATTCAATGTCAGAGCCGAGCTAACTAATGCCCAAACACGGTGCGCGTCTCCCATAATCTCTTCGAGTACAAAGTTTCTACCGATATTATCTAGAAGGAATAGACGACTCGCTTCGATCAGAAAGCTATTACGGTCGCCAGTGCTTTCACTAACGGCCGCGAGAATCGTTTGGCTTGGTGTCATCGAGTTAAATTATTCCAAATACAAACTAAAGAGCCGCTGTCGTGGCCCCGTCCACTGAAAAAAAAAAAAAAAGATGATTGAAATTCGCGACGAGGAGCATTTTTGATGTTCAAGCCAAGTGCGAATATAAATTTTTTGCGTCACGCATGGAATGGGCAGCTTACCAATTTCACCCTGAACCTCTGAGGGAAGTGTTTGTATTCTTAGTGACGCAATCCTGAACGATGTTCTTTTTGATCAACGAAAAAAAATTGTCAAATTTCTAAAATGAACCGAAGAAGCTCAGCAACGCCGCGACGCCATACTGCTGAAAATGCGATAGAACCTAATATAATACATGAGATATTCTGGCATGCATGCAAGGGGCCCCCTTGTACAAACGATAAAATATCCCTATTGGTAGGTGCAAAGAAAAGGACCACGTTACTTTCTGAGGTCATCAAGGATCTATCTGATCCTTGAAGCCTGCACTTTTTACTACCTGCAGTCGACTACATTTGTGAACGCGAGACCTCGGCCGACTTTAGGACGTGGCTTTGTCGTAGCCATCCTGCTAATCCCGTACGCTTGCTAGGAATTCTGAGAACATTTACTGTCTTTATGAGCTCGTTTGGTTAATGTCTGATATCTGAACTTTCTAAATAATTTGTTCGACCCCTTCACAATAGGATAGATGGTACATTTGCTATATATAAAGGGAGCGTATTTACCAAATGTCATAACAGACGACGATCGTAGCAGTTAGCTCATTGTAGAAATTTGCGTAGAACATGAAAGACCAACTATGACACACTGCCATCGGTATAATGAAATTGTGATAAATCTACGTTCCCTGCAAGCTCTGTCGTGTTTGTTTGCGTTTCTCATTGCCTAGAAACGCTTTCTCAAAATCTATATTCAATCCACAAATCCGCCGTCGTTTCTCAACGAAAAATATCTACATGTGTAAGGAAGCGGAGAAGAGTTTACCATTCCCCAATAGATAGGCATAAAGGAACTATTCCTGCAGCGGGACAAAACAGAGCAGGATCGAAAGCCTGGACCATGTC